CCAGATGGTCAGTGTAGAACACTGTAATATGATTCTGTGTTTTTCCTTTAAAACATTGGCCTGTGTTCGCTTTTTGGTTCTGGGCAGAGAGTAGGCTATAAACTTTAGATGTCAATACTTGGCCATGTAAGGGTTTTTATGGGGGCAGGACCAGCAGCATATGTTTTGTCATTACGTTTAAATTGCAGGGTCAGAAACTCCTGTAGCCCTACCATTTGTTGGCAGAATCAATATCTGGATAGCGCACAGAGCCCTGAAAAGAATATCAGACCTGGGAGACACTTTATCAGACCAACTCCCTCGTTTTATATCTACGGCTTTTACCAGTGATCCATCTGCCACCCACCCCTGTATGCCTAGTCTATAGGCTGATGGCAGTTCAAGGTGTGGCCTGTTATTTTCCATGCTTGAGTACTTTCTAGAACAGATACACACTGAGGTGGAAGCTGACATCAGTGACGAAGAAGCAACCAACCTTTTGGGGGAAGGAAAGGTGGGACAGAGTTGTCAAGATAAGCCATGTGGTATTTGCAAGGATGTTTCAGTGGGATGAGGGTCTGTCTTTACCCATTTGCATTTTAATGAAGTAAAATTCTACTTAACATGATCACCAACAGGTATTAACAGTGTTTGCTTAGGGAAGGGTCCTGAGTAGGTACAGTGTGTCTTGGTGATGGAAGTTTACTTATTTGCTGTGCTGGGTCTTACCGTCTTTTGAGTTGCCTGTTAGCATTTAATAACTACCCGGACATTGTTTCTTTGCTGTGTATATCATCAGAAGGTATAAGAATGTCAGAGCCAAAGGTGTATCAGTTCCTTTTCTGCTGCTGTGACAGAAACACTGACCAAAGCAGCTTACAGAAGGAAGAGTTTATTTGAGCTTATGGTTCCAAAGGGGTAAGAGTTTGTCATGGTAGAGTGGTTGGAGCCGGAGCAGAAAGCCAAGTGTTCATATCTTCAGGCCAGCACAGGGAGCAGAGAGCAACTAGAAATCCAGCAAGACTTAAGAGCTCTCTAAGCCCACCCCCAGTGATGTGCTTCCTCCAGCATGGCCACACCTTTTAAGGCCTCCCAAAACAGCACCACCAATTAGGAACAAAACGTCCAAATATTTGGAGCCTATGTGGGACATTCTCATTCAAACCATGACAACCGGTGATTGTATGATTCATTTTTATGCCTTTGGCGGTCCATACCATAATACACCCTTATCAATTAAGTGACTTTGTTCTGTATATACCTAGGGCTATGCCAAGGGAGGTATAGCATATAGGTCCTTATATACCTAGTTCCAAACAACCTCTTGTACCCTTGGCTTGCAGATTCAGTTCCAAAAAGATTGTTGAATCACATATGTGTGACCATTACTAGGTTACCAGGATCATCTCTACTGTTACAGGTCTTTGTTTTAGCAGTTCCTTCTCCAGATGGAATTGCTGAAACTGTCCCAAACTTTAGTAGGAAAGAGAGAGGCCTCTGAGTTCTGGCTTGTCCAAGATGCCTGGCCCCTATTTCTCTGGAGGTATATTTTAGTTTTTTTGATGGCCCTGGCATTTCCATGTGGTTGGACTGTGGAAATGAGAGGAAATATTCAAGAGAGAGAAGTCTACAGACAGTTGGAAATGTTGGTGCACTAGGGGAGGATGAGGCCGGATCTTGAATTTGAGGCCAGCCTGGGCTACATAGCAAGACACTGTCTCAAAAGACAGGGGGCTGCTGCTGAAGGCAGCACAGTGGGGTGGTGGTGTAGAAGTGTTATTTTTCTGGGTTATCTAGATCTTTTAAGATTATAGCAGGAGGGGCCATTATATATATAATAAAATGGTTTCTTCTTTTGAGCATCACGTTTATTTAAAAAATGTACACTTGCCAACCCAAAGGGAGGCTCAGTTGCAAAGGCTGTTGTCCCTTCAGCATTCAGCACAGGGACACTAGTCAGACAACTAGGAGCCCAGCAGAGCATTGGGATGGGCCCTCACTGGCACACAGGTGCCTTCAACTTGGTTCAATGGCCTTTCTGTAGAGTCACCACTTTAAGCCTCCGAGGGACTGATTATGAAAGTCAGTTCCAGCTGTAGCCTCATAGGCTGATATCATGGTGCCCCTTGTCTGCCTTGGGTCTCTTGGACTGAGATGAGAAGTCTATGCCCACACTGTGATGCATGGCTAGTGTCTGTTTTGCATGAGCAGATTCTGTAGATACAGTTTTGATGATTAAAGCTTCACTCCCAGGAAATGATTACCTGCTAGAAATTCCAGCCATAGGTTTTTACCCTATTCCCTAAATCATTCCATAGCTACCGGGACAAAGGCTTTGATTACCAGTGTGCTGTTGACACAGGTGTATTGCACATGGCTGAGGACAGTTTCCTAGGCTGGTACAACCTCATTCATGATGAGTCCAGTGACAGTGGGACAGAAAAACAGTCCTAGTTCCTGAAGCCAAATCCCACTTTTTAATCTCAGAGAACATGAAAATCATGTCTAATGGTTTGTAAGTACCTATCTGTTGATTTCTTTTATGGAGAGGGAGAGGGGAGGGGGAGAGAGGGAGAGAGGGAGAGAGACCAGAGTGCAGCCCAGCAGTAATTGATGCTATCTGAGAGTTACTGCATTAATATTTAGCTAATTTATGTGAATGGACCATTGTGTTTACTTAAACAAATGACATGAGTCCAGACAGCATGAAGTATGCTTTCATTTAGGTCAGATTTGTTAAAGTCTTTATGTGGGGACAAAGCTCATTATTTATTTTGGGCTCTCAATGGCTGCTTTTCAGTGGCTTTGGATGGATTTTTCTGAGTAGAAGCTTTTAAAATGAAAGATGATTGAAATTGTTTCAGGGTATGCCAGGTCCTTGGGGTCTTGTGATGAATGGGAGTCAAGTACTCCCTGGTGAACTCTGAGAAGAATAGGTGCTTGACACCCAAGCTGCAAGGCCCCTAAGATGTTCATTGCAAATACAACTGATTTGAAAGGGAATAGTGTAGCTTCATCTCACTTGCTTTCTTCTCCCCTCTCCTCCCTTTTCTGCTTCCTATATGCTCCACAGGATGGCTGAGCGGCCATGGTATTGCCCCTCTTTCTATAGTCTTGGTGTCATGTAGTTGCCACCTAAATCTCATCACCTTTGCACTTGGGAATGTGCTAGGATGAAGAAGATATAGCGTGCCCTTGATAAGTCTCAGCTCTGCCTCTCATAGCAGGTGTTAGGAGTTAGGGCAAGGCAGACAGAGGCAGGTAGAGCAGTTATTCCTGGAGCATGGTCTTAACCCAGAGTCTGACTGCCCGGGTTGAAACTTCCGCAGGCACATGCTATACCTACCAACTAGAGGGGAGACTTCCAGATGAGTTCTCTACCTATGACTATTTTGCCTTTGGCTTGTGGAGTGCATGTGTATATGTCACAGCTCAGTCTGACCCTTCTCAGAAAGCAGTGTGGTTCTAGAATGTTCAAGGTCCTGTTGATGAATCCTTTAAGGAAGGGGAGTTACCAGTTTCCTAAGACAGAAATTAAATTAAAATTGTTGTCCAAAATTCAGTGGAAGTTCTGGACAACCTGAAGGGTAAAGTGTTTCCTTAGTCCTGCCTGGCAGTCTAGGACTAATCTTCAGTGTCTAGAAGTTGTGGTTGAAGGCAGGAGTTCCTAGTGAAGCTGGTTCATATGAGCTGTGGAGACTGTGGTTGAAAACTGGGACCCTGGCTTCAGACTGATCTGGTTCAAATACCAGCAGCACCTCTTGTAGTGCTATTGGCAGATATCTCAGTTTCCTTCCTTGTGACAGAGGTTATAACAGCCTCTTTCTCATTGAGTTGTTCTGAGGATTAATGTGTTAAGAACGTAAAAGCTCTTAGAACAATGCTTGGCAAACAAGAAACATTAGGTTAATAGAGTCTCGAGCCATTAGTACAGGCATGAAGAATTTATAGCGGCATTCGAGATTGATGTGGTGGCACGTATTTATAAAATGTACTTGATTGTTGAAAGATCTACTACCTTCCTTGATAAAAAAATCACTATACTTAATGACGTGACTTTACTTCGTTGGTAGCGTCCTATTACGTTATCAGTTTAGGCAATGGTGTTAGGATTATCGTGTTCATCACTGCCACTGGAAAGGAAAATGCTTTCTTTCAATTAAAAAAATTAAAGTTTATTTAGCAACATAATATTTTATCATATAAAGTGTTGGGAAATTAATGATGGCTCCCTGGATTATTTTATCATATTAAGATGCTAATGGATACTATTAATTGCCATTTAAAAGATGGCTTGGGGCTGGAAAGTTAGCTCAGTGGGGAGTCCCAGAACCCGTGTTAAAAAAAAAAAACAAAAAAAAACTGGCATGATGGCCCAGTGCTGGGGAGATGGAGACTCACTAGCCAGCCAGCCTAACTTACTTGGCAAGCTCCAGGCAGTGAAAGACCCCGTCTCAATAAACAAGGTCGACAGCACCCGAGGAATAACATCTAAGGCTGATCTCTGGCGCATGCATATGTACCTACACACACATGCACACCCCTCACTAGTGCATACACATAAAAAGAAATCTCTGATGGATAAGCTGATGTGGCTCCTAAGGACAGCTTATTTTTACTGGTGTGTATATGATCATTTAATAGGCATGGCGATCTATAATGGTGTAGTTTTGGAGAACTGAGCTGTTGTTTTCGCATGTATTGTTACTGGGAGTTATAGTAGCATTTTAAAACATGATTTGACATGAAATTACTTTTTGGCAACACCTTCTTGAAAGAGAGAAGGTGCTGCAAATGCTTTTTCTCTGTTATTTTTTCTAAACCTAAGCAGCCCCTCTGGGGACCTTCTTTGAGGCCAGCTGGACTAGGCTTCTGAAAATATTTTCCTAATGTAAATATTATTTAAAGATTCAAAAATCAGATTTTTCACATACAATAAAGCAGCTTTAGCTTTCTGGGTTTGATTCACGGAGACGAAACTATCCACTCATCTGTATCCGTTTCATTGTCTTTTCGCTCAGGAGCGCCATATTGGACCAACACAGAAAAGATGGAGAAGCGCCTGCATGCTGTGCCCGCCGCCAACACTGTGAAGTTCCGCTGTCCAGCTGGGGGGAATCCAACACCCACGATGAGGTGGCTAAAAAACGGGAAGGAATTTAAGCAGGAACATCGCATTGGAGGCTATAAGGTAGGACTGAGCTTTCAAAACACTGTATTTCTTAAATTTTGTTTATTTTTAAAGTCCTCTGAAGTAGGCAGAACCAGAAAGACTATCTGTGTTTTTAAATCTATAATTATTATAATTGATCATGTCATCATTCAATGTGTTTAAAGGATTACCCTAGACACGCCTGTAATTTGAAAGTACAATGCCTATTTGTAGTGTTCCTGATACAGGAGAGTTTAATAACAAAGGGGTCAAAAGTTGAGAATCTGTTTTCTGTATGCTTTGTGGTCTGTAGAAATGTGAACTGGTGCAAGATTTGAGAAGTCTCAGTTGCCCTGTGAGAGCAGAACTGTTATAGTGAATGGGCTTGGATGAGAGGCTGCATCTGAACTAGTATTCATTAATGGAGGAAATGCTGGACAGTGGCAGAGGCAGGTCCCTGTCCTGCTCAAGGGTCCATCAGAGAATGGCTCCAAATTTAATCTGGGTACTCACTGGGGAGTTAGAGGACAGTGTTTCTCTGACATCCCTAGGAAGGCTCCTGGTCACTCACTGGGGAGTTAGATGACTGGTTCTCTGATACCCTTGGGAAGGTTCCTTGGGGTTTTGTTCATTTATTCAGCATCATTGATTGAGCAGCCTTATGCTGGGCACTGTAGGTACTGGAGTGGCCTCAGCTCAAGGGGTGTTGGTTTAGCAAGGAGGCAGAGACAAGAGCTGGCAGTCAGAGGACGTCGATATGGATGAAGTCATAAGTGTGTGCTGCATCCTATGAGCAGGCAAAAGGATGGTATTGACTTCTTAGGAGAGTAAGAATAAGGAAGAGCAGGGAGGGCCTTGGGGAGAAACTGCAAAGATTTCTTGGAAGGAGAAAGATGGAATTTCCAAATAATTCAGTATGGAGAAAACTTTAAGAATTTTGCATATGAGGCTGGGCTGGTGGCACACGCCTTTAATCCCAGCACCCGGGAAGTGGAGGCAGGCAGATCTCTGTGAGTTTGAAGGCAGCTTGGTCTACATAGTGAGTTTGAGGCCCGCCTGGTCTACATAGTGAGACCCCGCCTCAAAAATCAAAAAAAGAATTTTGTATATGAAGGGGATTTATGGAAATCTTGTCTTGAAAATCTTTGCATTTGGTATGGGAGAGGGGGTGTTAGTGAATGAATGGTTGCTATGTAATAAATTGGTCTCAATTTTAGTGGCTTTTCACATTCGCTGTTTCACAGTTTCTGTGGATCCATCCAGGTGCAACCTAGTGGGGTCCTCCGTCTCTAGGTCCCTCACAGGACCGTGCCAAGGATCTGCCTGGGTGGTCTCAGGACTCAGTTCTTTGCAGGGTGTTGGATGTAGGGCCACCTGAAGCCCCATGCCACGTGGGCCTGTGTAGGACATATGACAATGTGACAGCCATCATCTCTAGGGTTAGCAGACCGGGAGCCAGGGAGACAAAGTGGAGGAGTACAGATAGGGCACAGCCTCCTGGAACCTCATCAGGGACAGGATGGGTGACCTAGTACCTTCCTTTTATCATTAAACAAGACCCTGAGGAGGAGGCGAGCCAAGGGCATGGATCCCAGGAGGGTAGGTATCAATGGGGACCCATCTGAGAAGTTTCCAGTATGAGTAAAATGCTCAGTTTGTAAAAGCCAGGTGCGAGAGGCACTCTTGGAGGGAGCAGTGCACTGTGTGGAAGTTCTGGTTTTCCCTGCTTGACCTCACACTGTAGCATCCAGGTCTCCCCCTCCCCGCCATTCCACCTCACTGTGTTTACCTGCTCCTCTTCCCACCCATGAGACACCTGGGGTCCTCCAAACTCCCACACAGGCTTTTATCTTTAAAGGCTTATTTGCTTCTGCAACAGTTTTTGCCCTTTTGTTCTAACCTTTAAAAATTACCACGTAGAGGGCCAAATCCAGAGAGGAACATGGGAAAGCTTACAAGTTGGGGAAAGATGAATGTGGGGCCGGAAGGCAGGTATGCTGGTCCCTGAGTACCTTAGATGCTCGGGTACAGAAATTCTTGAGTGAGGAGGCAGGGGCTGATGTGTCTTCTTCTTAGTTCGGTCTTTAGATGATGATACTGGGAGGTTGACTCTAAAAAACAAAAATAGATTTCATTCGGCCGTGCTGGTTAGAAAGGGAGGTTAAACCACTCAGACTCTGGCCCCTGGCTTGCTTTCCGACCACTTACTAGCTGCAAATTCAGAATTGATGCAGTTTCAACAACTTAAGAACAGTTTTACTGGAAGAATAGTGCTCAGAAGCCTGGTGGTTGGCTCAATCTGTCTGTGAAGACAGCCTCTAAGTGGGTACAAAGGGGACCTCTGAGTCTCCAGGGACTCCTGGTCTCAAAATAAGTGGGCCCCACATCATTATCATGAATAGGGAGCGTTTTGCAAATCTGAATGATTACAGATACGCTGTTAGACTAAGGGGGCTTAATGAAGGAGCGCGTCTTGATTTTTAACAGGTGCAGTTTAGTTTTAATTACCTGTGACGACAGCTCTGCTGAAAAGAACAGCAGCCATGTTCTAGCAGCGCCTCCCAGCATGGCTGTAACCTGTGTGGACATCCCAGAGGGCTGTTGTTGGTTCACGTTTGAGTTATTTCCTGAGGAGAGGAAAGCTGGAATTTGAATGGGTGGGGGTAAAAAATCTAAAGGGTATTTTTCCTTTTATTTTATTTTTTTTTAAAGGCAAGAGATGGGGAGATGGCTCAGTTGGTAAAATGCTTGCTCTGTGCAGATGTGAGGACCTGACTTTGGTCCCTAGGACCCACGTGAAAAGTTGGGTATGTCAGTGAGCCTGTGCTTATATTCCCAGGCCTGGGGAGGCAGAGACAGGAGGCTCCCTGGCTGTGTCTGATCAGGTTCAGTGAAAGATCTTGTCTCAAAAAATAAGGAAATAAGATGGGACTGGGTGTGATGGTGTTCACCTTTAATTCCAGACCTCAGGAGGGAGGGATAGGCAGGATCTCTGTGAGATAGAGACCAGCCTGGTCCACATAGTGGCTTCTGGGCAGACTGGAATTAGGGAGACCTTGTCAAAAACAACAACAGAAAAAAACAAACCCAATAATAAATAAATAAATAAATAAATAAATAGTAAGGTGGGGAACAATGGAGGAGATCCTTGACTTCTACCTCTGGCCTCCGTATAAATACACACACACACACACACACACACACACACACACACACACACATTTATTATGCGTCCCCTCCCCTATCCTTCTGAGCTGTCAGTGGTGCAGAAGGAAGCTGTGGCCATGGGACTGGACCCAGGATGACCATGGACATGATTGCACAATAGGGATTTACTCAGCAGGTTCATGATGGTGACGCTGGGCATTCATTTTAGGGAGACTGGAAATTTAGACAGTTCATTGAGTCCCAGGACTTCTGGGATTTAGGAAAGACAAAAGCTCTCAGCTAGGCAGACACTGACTTGGTTCCCTAAACCACAGTCCTGCTGAAGGTGTGTTAAAAAACCAACCCTGGGTTCCCAGGTCATGAAATCATGGGAGGTCCCCCAGACTTTCCTGGAGTTGGTGTCTCTTACTGGTCTAGCTGCCTGCTTGGTCTCCATCTGCTTTTAGGACCTTTCACACCACAGCATTGGGGGATCATAGACCCGGTGTGGGCTTCTCCCTCTGGTATTTTCTTCATCATCTACATAAACTTCTAAAGAAATGCACCTTTCAACAAACATTTGATCTGAGGGTGCTGTGTGGTATTGGTTGTAATGTGTATCCCTCAGCACTGGAAAGGAGGGTCCTTATTAAAAGAACAAAACAAAACATTTATCTATTTTCATTTCTGGGTGTGTTTTGGGCAGAGTACCACAGCGTACATGTGGAGCTGAGAACAACCTGTTGGAGTTGGTTTTCTTCTTCCACTATGTGGACCCTGGAGATTGAACTCGGGTCATCAGCTCTGAGGGAAGTGCCTTTACCCGCTGAGCCATCTTGCTGGCCCCAGAGACCTAACTGACTTGCCTCAAACCCCATAGTGAGGGCCTGTCAAGTCTAAGCCTTCCCTCCTCTGACTCCCATCCTTTTGCTTCTTAATGGAGCGGGGTGTCCAGTTTTCCAAGGTATGTTTTTTTCCGAAAAGCAAAGACTTGAAAGTTTCCGTAAACGAACATCGGTTATTTGTGCAACTTTTTATTTTCCCTCATAAACTTGTCATTGTGGAATCTGTGTGCTTTGATGGCCCAGTGTTCTCTGTCTCTTCCTACCTGTTTATGGCTCCATGGCCCTTGGCCATCAAACCCCAGCTTGCGTGGAGCCGGCGAAGGGAGAGAGGAAGGACAGAACCACATGAAATCAGAGACAATCAAGAAATGGGACCAAAATTTATTTCAGTGCAAGAGACCAATAAAAACATTTGGTATTCCGCACCTCAGTCTTGTTAACTAATTAAAGGCATATTGTGTCACTGAGACTGACTCCCAACTTACTATATAGCCCAGAATGGCCTTGAACTTGGAATCTTCCTGCCTCTGTCTCCCTGGGATAAGAGGCGGGGCCCCACCACAGTCGCCATTTTTTTTTTTTTTTTTTTAATACTGTAGTGGAACTTGACCAGAAGCATGACTCTGTGTGTGTGTGTGTGTGTGTGTGTGTGTGTGTGTGTGTGTGTGTGTGCATGCATTTGTTCTTGGGCTGGGGTGTCATTCATTTTTCCCCATTAGTTTTTTTTGTTTTTGTTTTTTTTCTTATTTTATTTTTTGAGACAGTCTCTCTATGTAGCCCCAACATGCTTGGAACTCATAGAGATCTGCCTGCCTTGGCCTCCCAAGTGCTGGGATTAAAGGCATATACCACCATACCTGGCTTTCTTAAATTTTTAAATTGCATTTAATTAATTGTGTGTGTGGGTGTGCACGTGTGTTCATGGGTACACATATGACATAGTGCGTAGATGGAGGTCAGAGCACAATCTTTGGAAGTCGGACCTCTCTTTTGACCATGTGGGCCCTGGGGATTGAACTCCTGTCATCAGGCTTGATGGTAAGCACC